AACGGGGGACCCTCTTGGGGCGCTTCGGGGCCGTCTTGGAGGCCATCTTGGGCGTCTTGGAGGCCATCTTGGGCGTGTTGGAGGCCTCTTGGGCCGTCTTGGGGCCCTCTTGGGGCCATCTTGGAGGCCACTTGGGCCGTCATGGGGCCCTCTTGGGGGCCTTTTGGGCGATCTTGGGGGCCTCTTGGGCCGTCTTGAGCCGTCGGAATGCCGAGAAGAAGCAAATTCCAAAATCCTTCAAAAACCTAAGACAAATCAATGATTTCGGCCTCTTCGGGCCCTCCTGGAGGACCTCTTGGAGGCCTCTTGGGCCGTCTGGGAGGCCTCTGGGGGGCCTCTTGGGCCGTCTTGGACTCTCTTGGGCCGTCTTGGAGGCCGTCTTGGACCATCTTGGGCGGACTTGGAGGCCATCTTGGGCCATCTTCGCGATTTGTTGAGGATGTCCCGAGCGAAACGGCTGTTTTTTGGAGCCGTCCTGGGCAGGAAATTTAGGAATTGGGGGCCTTCCGGGTGGCCGGCGGGACGAGCCGAAGCCCCAGGGGGGGTTCTTTTGGAAAAAGAACCAAAACCAAGGTTAGAGGGTTCGGCACGCCAGGCACCCCTTTGCTAAAGCAAAAGGGGGCGGCGGATATGGCGCCCTTCGGCCCATCCCGCCACCGCTCCTGGGTTGTGGGTTAAGAGGCTTCTTGGATGTTCGTTTGGATATCGTGGAAGGCTTCTCGGGGGCCTCGTGGAGGCAGTTTTGAAGCCTCTTGGGGACCGTCTTGGGGCCTCTTGCTGCCTTGGAGCGTCGGAAGCTGGGTTAAGCGAGAAGACTAAAATCAGTGAACACCCAATGGGGAATCCATGATCTTGGCCTCCTGCAGGTCCTCTTGGAGCCCTCTTGGGGCGTCTTGGCGGCCTCGTGGGCCATCTTGAGGACACCTTGGGCTATCTGGGAGATAGATTATGCAGTCTTGGAAACAAGAAGCAATTTTGGGCTCCAGTGGGGTCATCTTCGCCGTGTTGGACACAGTGGCGCCTTTGGCCGAGACCCCATTGGGAACCTTCTGGAAGGGCCACAACACATTGAAATTTAGCACGCCGTTCACCCATGTGGCGAGCCCATGGGGCGGCGGATCGAAGGCGCATACGGCGAATCACCACCGCCCCTTGACTTTCGGAGCGCCTATGTGGACGAACGTTCCGTCCAGAGCTCGGCCAAGCTATCGGACTATGTGTTCCCCCAGGTTTTGTGGAAACCATTCGGGGAGCACGTGAAGGAGAAAGAAGGAGAAGAGGAGAGGGAGGAAAGGAGGAGGAGGAGGAGGAGGAAAAGAAGAAGACCTCTAAGGGGCTTCCGTGGGCCTCTTGGGAGCCTTTGGAGGGTACTCGGGAGGCTCTTTGGCCGTCTGAGGGGCGTTCTTGGTCCGCCTGATTCCGTCGAAAGCAGTCTTGGGGGCCTCCTTGGACCGACTTGGGGCCCTCTTGGGGCGCTTCAGGGCCGTCTTGGAGGCCATCTTGGGCGTCTTGGAGGTCTCCTGGGCCATCTTGGGGATCTCTTGGGGCCGCCTCGGGGACCTCTTGGACGCTCTTGGATCTTGGTGGCCTCTGAGGCCGTCTTGGGCCGTCTTGGGCCGTCGGAGCGGAAACTGACCAAACGCCCCACTCCGTCAAAAAATTACGGAAAATCATTGAAATTGATTTTTGTCTGGCTTTCTTGGAGGTCCTCTTGAAGGCCTCGTGGGCTTTGGAGGTCTAATAATGGGGCCATCTTGCACGGTCTTGATGCCGTCTTGGGGGCATCTCGGCTCGTCTTGGAGACATCTTTGGGCCATCGTGGGCTTGGGGTCATCGTAGCCGTTTTGGAAACCATATTGGCTGCCTTAAAAGCAAGATTCGGCCATCTTGGAGCCATCTAGACCAGAACAATCCTTGCCGAACGGGTGTTTCAGGTGGCTGGCGGGTTGGACCGAGATCCCATTGAGATCCGTAAGGGCTTCGCCCCCTGCCGCCGGCCCCCTCTCGGAGAATGGGCCATGGAAGAGCGAAGTCATGAGGCTTTGGCTTTGCCGTGAAGCAGTGTCGGGACCTATTTGTTTTTCGACCCTGACCTTGCCGATCTGCGTGAGGGGTGCCACCGAATTTCAAACATGCGGAAAATCCGCTGTGTTTTTGGACCCTGACCCCGCCGATCTGCGTGAGGGGTGCCACCGAATTTCAGACATGTGGCAAATCATATGTGCTTTTGGACCCTGACCCGCCGATCTGCGTGAGGGGTGCCAGGAAATTTTAGAAATGTGGCAAATCCTTTGTTCCCTACCTAGGCTCTGCCTAGAAGGGTTCTTACTCTCTTAGCTTAAAGGGGCTGGGCAGTGGAAAGCGCCCCGGGCGGTTCCCCCGGTCCCCGCCCCGCGGTTCCCCCCAGCCCCCTGGGAGCTTTAGCTTTAGCTTTAGCTTTAGCTTAGCTTTAGCTTAGCTGTAGCTTAGCTTTAGCTTAGCTTTAGCTTAGCTGTATCTTAGCTTTAGCTCAGCTTTAGCTCAGCTTTAGCTTAGTTTTAGCTTAGCTTTAGCTCAGCTTTAGCTTAGCTTTAGCTTAGCTTTAGCTTAGCTTTAGCTTAGCTTTAGCTTAGCTTTAGCTTAGCTTTAGCTTAGAGTTACTGTTACTACTAATGCTGCTTTCCTAGGGGTTCCAACTCCTAGGTAGGGTCGCACTGGAATAATTTTTTTTGACCCTGACCCCGCCGATCTGCGTGAGGGGTGCCACCGAATTTAAAACATGCGGCAAATCCCCTGAGTTTTTGGACCCTGACCCCGATCTGCATGAGGAGTGCCACCGAATTTCAGAAATACGGCAAATCCCATGTGTTTTTGGACCCTGACCCCGCCGATCTGCGTGAGGGGTGCCACCGAATTTCAGAAATGTGGCAAATGCCATATGTTTTTAGACCCTGACCCTGCCGATCTGCGTGTAAGGGGTGCCACCGAATTTCAGAAATGTGGCAAATCCCTTGTGTTTTGGGACCCTGACCCCGCCGATCTGCGTGAGGGGTGCAACCGAATGTAAAAAATTGTGCAAATCCCGTGTGTGTGTGTTGTGTGTGGTGTGTGTGTGTGTGTGTGTGTGTGTGTGTGTGTGTGTGTGTGTGTGTGTGTGTGTGTGTGTGTGTGTGTGTGTGTGTGTGTGTGTGTGTGTGTTTGGACCCTGACCCCGCCGATCTGCGTGAGGGGTGTCAATTTTTACCCCCCCAGGAATTCAGAGAACCCTCCCGGGGAGTGCTAACCAGGGCGGTCTTCGGCTCCCCCCCCTCGCGCGGACAGTAACAATTTACAGTAGGAAGCAGAAAGCAGTACTGTAACAATGGAAACTGGAAACTGGAACTGGCACAGGGAGCAGCAACCCTAAGCCTCGCAGCCTGATGGCCCCGCAAGGGGGCCGACGGATTTCAAGCAGAACCAGAACTATTCATAAGTTTACGCCTTCTACCCCTGTTGCAAGCCACACGGGGCGGCCGATAGAAGGCATTCAGCCCATCCCGCCACCATGCTTGTGTTATAGGTCAGAGGCTTGTTGGCTGCACGTGAGGATCTCTTGGGAGGCCTTTCGGAAGCCTCTTGGGCGCCGTTTTGGGGTGTCTCTGGGGCCTCTTTGGGATTCATTGGGGCCTGATTTGGGCTTCCTGGGTGCCTCCATGGGGCTTCTGGGTGGCATCTAGGGGACCTGCTGGCGATCTCGGCGGGTCATCTTGGGGCGGAGGGCAGAAAATGTCGGTTCGTGTTCAACCTCTGGGGCCTCTCTTGGGGCCCTCTTGGGACCCTCTTGGCCCGTCTTTGGAGCCTCTTGGGCCGTCTTTGGAGCCTCTTTGGCCCGTCTTTGGAATCCTTTTGGGACCCTCTTGGGGCCTTCTGGGGCCTCTCTTGAACCCTTTTGGGACCCTCTTGGGGCCCTCTTGGGACGCTCTTGGCCCGCTCGGGGGCCTCTCGGGGCGATCTTGGGAGCCTCTTAGGCGGCCTTGGAGCGTCGAGGGCTAGACAAGGCGAGAACGCTGAAATCATTCAACCCCTGCGTCAAAGCACTGGTCCGCAGGCGCTGACGGAAAGCCCTAAACCCTAAACCTTAAACCCTAAACTCCATCCAGGGCCGCCTGCCCGTACCCCACCCTTGCACCCCAAATGCGGCAAGCGCCCCCCTTCAGTCACTCCACGGTTTGACTACCTCCTGGCCCCACAGGGGTCCCAGGAGGTCCCCCACCCCCAGGCATTCAACTTCGTCGCTCTGGCCAGCAAGGATTTCCGGAGTAGTGCCCTGTCCTCTCCGCGGTTGGGTGGGGACCACCGCGCCAGACTGCCATGCCTCGTTCTCCCTGACTCCTCCCTCCCTCCTCGCTCCTCGCTCCTGCTCCTGCTCCACCTCCTCCTCCTCCTCCTCCTCCTCCTCCTCCTCCTCCTCCTCCTCCTCCTCCTCTTCCTCTTCCCTCCCAGACATCGGACGTCGCGTTTTTCTCAGCCACGTGGCTCCCCCGGACCCCTTCTGGGGACTGGTTTTCCATCCTGGGTCCTTCTCTAACGGCCGGTGAGGGCCCCCAAAGGCAGAACATTGCAAGCAAACAAAACGCCTCCTCCGCGATGTGTTCACGACGAGGGGGCCCAGAGGCCGAAAATGGCCAGAAGGCCTCCGCTGTGATGTGTTCATGACGCGAGGAGATCAGGGTCTCCCATCCCTCTCAGGCGATCGCAAACATTGATCAAGGGGTGTGTGTTCGCGACGGGTCCCGTTTCCGTGGGAAGTCGCGGATTCTGCCGCCGAGCGACCAGCCGCATTTTCGGGAGGGCACCTCCCCCGATCCATGGATTTGGCGACCACGCGCCAAATCCATGGATCGCTAATCCATGTTTGCGCGCCCCCGACCCTCTTCCCCGACTCTTTCCTCCCTCGCCCCCACGGGGTCCCTCCCCTCCACAAAAATTGTCGCACCGCCTCCGCACCCTCCCCCACCTTCCCCTGGTGGTCCCGTGGACAGGCGGCCTCAGCTCGACGACCCTGGGGTGCGACGGCGAGGACGGCTGCACGGTTCCCACCTCTCGGCGGTTTGGAGGCTTCGGCATCTTTCGGACGTGTGCATTTTTGTTCGACAAGGGCCATCGAGAAGGATCCTAGATCATTATACGAAAAACAAACGCACGACCCCAACAAATGCACGAGGAATGGACGTCCGAGCGACGGCGAGAGGCGAAGAGGAGGAGGAGGAGAAGGGGGAGGAGGAGCCACGGGTGGGGAGCGCGCCCAGGGGCTTGCGCAAAAAAGACGGAGGAGAAGGAGGAGGAGGAGGAGGAGGAGGCCCGCCTCCTCTGAGGGGCAACGTTGGGGGGGGATGGGCTCAAGGCGGCGGTGCGTCGTCCCCAATCGCCCATTCACTGCCGGTAAGGGCCTGATAATCAGCCAACCCCGCCCAGGACCGTGCGGAGACGCCATCGGGGGCGTATCGCCGATCTATCGGCGATGTATCGCCGAAGGTCGGTGTTTCCCCCCCCCCTCCCCGAGTTGGTCCCCCATCTAGCGTTGCCCTCATCCTCGCCTTTGTGATTCGGGCTTGACGCAGTTTCCACAATGCGTCAGACCAGTATTCGGGGTTGACGGGCCCGCTGTAGTAGTCGCTGGGGGCGGGGCGCTTCAACAGGAGGGAGGGGGCGGGACCAGGGAAGGGGGCGTTGAGGGGGGGGGGGGGGGGGCAGCGATGGCAGGGGGAAAGGTAACGTAATCCATCGTGCGACCGCAGCCTTTCTCTCGGAGCTCTTGACTAGCTGGCCCGGTTTCGCGAAGGCTCGAGCATCGGGAGAAAGAAAAAGGTGATCGTCACGACACGCGGTCAGCGTGTTTGGGAATTTCGAATGTATGCCATGCTCCTGGCGACCCGAAGCGCGCTCCCAGGTGGCCGAGTTTTCGTCAGTTTAGATTCGAGGAAGCGGGTCTTACATCAGGCTAGAGTGTGGCGTCGATCTCGGACGTGACTCGTCCCACAGCCTACCGGAGGTTCCCAGACTCGAGCCGGGCGAAAGGGGGGGATTGGGAAAGGGGGGGGTACGAAATCTGCTGCATGCAGCTGGTTTCGGCCCCACCAAGGGGCCCATTCCTCGATACATGGCAGCCTCCGGCGCCGGGAGGCGCCGGGAAAATCAGCTACGTGAGCTGATTCTCACCCCCCCCCCTTTGCTATCCCCCCCTTTCGCCCGACCCGACAGACATCGTCGCGCCACGGCCAGACCGCAGCGGGGAGTCTGCCGCGGTCTTCGGCGCCGCGGGGGCCCCCGGCGGGGTCCCCCGGGGGGGCCGCTGGGCAACGGGTCGGGGCGAGAGGCCAGCCCCCGGGCAGGGTGAGGGACACGACGTCGGATGCGTGGGCTCGAGGAGGACGAGGAGGAGGAGGTCAGAGGGAGGAGGAGGAGGACGAGACGACGCAGGGGGGGAGGAGGATGAGGGGGAGGAGGGGGAGGAGGGGAGGGGGAGAGGAGGAGGAGGATGAGACGGCGCAGGGGGGGAGGAGGAGGAGGAGGAGGAGGTTGGAGGGAGAGGGGGAGGAGGGGAGGGGGAGAAGACCAGCTGGGTGCGCTCGCGTCATATCTAGCGTTCTACCTCTCCCTCCCATCCCTTACCATGGCGTAGATCTCTTCTCTATTCGCACAATCGGATGGCGCAGCATGGCATAGCATTGCATGGCATAGCATGGTGTTGAAGATCAACGCGTAGCATGACATAGCATGGCGTGGAGACGCCCCAAACAACGTGTGGGGGGGCTTTTGCGACCCAAAAATTCAACGAATCGGCACCGAATGTGGAATCACTTCCGATGGTTTCTTGGGGATTGCCATTTTCTAGATTTGGGAGCCTACTTGGAAGGACCGAAAATCATGCCGTGGCATGGAGCTGGAAATAATGACGCCAGCAATGCAGCGGGAACACGATTCGGGACGAGCGGGAGCGTGGAAATGAGGCCAGCGCTGCAGCGGGAGCACGAGCACGATTCAGAACGAGCGGTGGCCCGAAGATCAAGCCAGCGCCTCAGCGAGAGAAGCATTTCGAACAAAAAACAGCGGAGGAGGGGAAGCCGAATGAGGATGGATACAATGTGGCCACACAGGGAGGCAGAGCACGGCAGAGGGCGGCAGGAGGGTGCCGAAAGTGGGAAGGTCAGGGCGACGGAAGGCATCGAAGGTGGAACGGGTGGGGGAGGCGAAGGACGGCAGTGAGGGGGGAGGGGGTGGACAGAACCCCCACCCTGACACGTCGATTGGTGAATTGTCCATTTTCGGTTCTCGAAAGGGTGCCGCGGCCGTTACTTTCCAGGCTTGCGCCCGCCAGGTTTGGGCCCGAGGTCGTTTTCACTAAACCACGTTTTGCTAAAGGGAGGTCTGTCCATCCCCGAGTGGAGAGGGCAGACGGAGATTAATGGAATGGGGATACAGAGTTTAAGTCGGGCCAGTCCCTCTACAGGAGGAGTATTCAAACATAGTCAAAAATAGTGTGGGGACAATGTGTTAAGCATGTTTTGAATAGTTTGGAGTATGCTTGGGTATGTTTAATTTTTCGTCCAAAATCCCCCTGTAGGGGGACATGCCCGACCTAAGTATAGAGGGTGGCGAATGAAGGGCAGCCTGGGTGAGGAACGAGGGCATCGCAGGCTGGAAGTAGGAGCGGCGAGCGAAGTGGCGGACGGGTGGTGTTCTCGGGTGCGAAGACATGATCCGAGCACTTCCTTTGGGTGGAGGGCAAAGGGTGACATCCGCAATGCCGTTTCGAATGATTCTCGAGGCTTGGATCTGCAAAAGGTGAATGACAAGACGGATTGCTTTGAGAGGTGCAACAGCCCATCTGGATTTCACCCTGAGCTCTCCACCCTAAGAAAATGCTCAGATAATGCAAGGATTGAGGGGCGGTCGGCCGCCTACGAATGAGGAGGGAGACGGGGGTGGGTGGGGGCGACTGTGATGCAATGGCAAGGGAACGCAGCCGATGAGGCGGGAATGTTGAGCGGAGCCAGCAGTCAAGCAGTGCGGCGGGGAGGATGCATTCCTGTGATGCCATTCGTTTCTCCAGAAGACCGCCGGGGAGGTACTCATCGATAGCGGCACCTCGCTGATCGCAGCGCCAGGCAACGTCATCAAGCAAATTCAGGACCGTGTTCTAGCAGTAGTGGTTGTCGCGTCGAGGGCTACGACATCTTGCTTCTCCTCTGTGTTCGTGATTACGCCCAGGTACAATGGTGGATGGCAGGAAATTATGGTTCATACCACTTGGGGCCATCACATCTTCCCCGCTTCGGGCACAGCCAGGTGCGTTTAGACGCGTCAGTACTGCTTATGGAGTGTGCACGCGTGTGTCTGCGATTGGCGGCAGAGGGATAACTTCATGCCCAAGCACGAACGCATCTGGAAACAGCACGGTAGTTTCCCGCTGCGCCTAGGCGGCGGCGACCCCAGCGCGGGCGTTAAAGGTTGAGTATCGCCAGTTGCCCGGAACTTGGCGATGTCGAACGCGCGCCATCGCCAATTCGCGATCGTTGTCGCGGTACAGTGTGAACCACGAGGAGGACAGGAGGAGGAGGAGGAGGAGGGAGGAGGAGGAGGAGGAGGAGGAGGAGGAAGGGTTCAACGATGCACGCGGTGTCAGAACTTATACGCCGAGGTCGTCACGGCCCTTGCCGCAACGGGCTTCGCTGTGCCTTTCCAGCACGTCGCGATTGATGTCAGCATGGCGGGTGGTGGCCGCAACCGCTACCTCAGTGCACCCGCTCGTTGCAGCAGGCGTGGCCGGAATTTACGCTGCTTCGCCGTCTTGTCTCGCAGGCCTCGCCGCGTCTCGTTGCTCGCCCACGGGCTTCGAACGGGAAGAGGGCCGAGGAGAGACGAGCAGAGGACAGGAGATATAGGAGGAGGACGACAAGATGTTACGAGGAGCGGTCGGTGAACAGGGGGAGAAAGGAGGCCAGAGGAGGACAGAGGGGGAGAGATGATGACAGAGGTGGAGGAAGGGGAGGATGAGCGGTCGATGGAAAGATGAAGAGGAGGAGGAGGAGGAGGAGAAGGAGGAGGAGGAGGAGATGGAGGAGGAGGAGGAGCGTCAGAGTCAACCCAGGAAGAATCGACTACACTGGAATGCACCTTCACGTCCCAGGTCCATCAAGCCCCCGTGCTGAGGACTCCCTGTGAGTCGTCCGGTTCACCACAAGCGCTCGTGGAGAGACGGGCACCCAAGATACGCCTGCCAGTCGGGCGGCGGCTCCGTTCTGACGGAGGACTTGCCCTGCACCCGTCTCGCTGGTCACCAGGACAGCGAGAGCGCGAAGAGCTGGGATCACAGAGTCTGGCGGTGCGTCCAGGGAGAACCCTGGCTCATTATGGGCCGAAGAGCAACGACCCCCCGCCGCGCAACAAATGCCGCAGCTCCCACGTGTGGTTGCTAGTCCTGTGGAGCTTCAGGCGGTCAAGTGGGGGCCCATGCCAAGAAACCACCTTGCTCGCCTCCAGAGTGCCCTGGGCTTCTTGGGTTTCGATTGGCTTGCGATGCACCAAAAGTCCATGGACGTCCTGGGGTCTCGGGGTTGGGTTCCTTGTGGAAGGTTTCTTGTGGACTGGCCTCCACTGTAGTTCCATTTTGAAGGGGAACCGCCCTCCATCTTTGCACTCGCACAGAACTGTTGAGACCAAGGTACGCGGCGCCAGCGCGAAAGCCGTGATTCGAAAAGGAGTTGCCATCCATCCGTGATGCTGTGATAGTTTCAGACGAATTTGCCCCACCCCGCAACTGCGCCCGGCTCGTGCTCCAGAGAACTTGGGGACATTGAGGAGGAGGAGGAAGAGGAGGAGGAAGAGGAGGAGGAGGAGGAGGAGGAGGAGGAGATGGGGGATCCTGGGGGGCGTTCAGTGGTCTCCTGGGGGCCTTTGTGGCCCACTTGGTTGGGTCTTGTGGCCTCTTGTTGGCCTCGTGGGGGCCTGGGATCATGTTGGACGGGGGTCGGGTTCCAGCGGTGCGACAGTGGCATGCCGCTTGGGGCTCCTCTTCGGCCGTCTTGGGGGCCTCTTGGGCCCTCCCCCTGTTGGGGGGGGGATCGACACAACACGGAGCGAGAGAAACCTCTCCCCGAAGGGGAAGAAGAGGGTCGGAAGAGGAACCGCTCCAAACCACCTCCGCCCAGCGGGCTGGTGGGATAAGCGCTCGGCTTTGCCAATGGTTGACATCATTCATGCGCCTGCTGTCCCTCGGTGCCCCTGAGGCCGGCCAGTTTTCTGGCGGCTTCTGCGCCGCTCCTCCCTGTAGGGGCCTGCCGGTAGCACCTGGCTCAAGGGAGGCCCTTCAAAAGCGAATGGGGCACACGAGAAGCGCTAGGCGGAGGAGGAGGAGGAGGAGGACGTTGAGAAGAAGAAGGAGGAAGAGGACGACGAGTATAACGACCCTAACCCCCTCACGCCGTGAAAATATCGCGCCGTGAAGCAATCCTTGGTGCCCTCACCACAAGCTGGGGCCCCTGGGCCTTCAAGCGACAGCGCAGGATGAGAAGCCTGTCCCCAGGAAAGGGTCGCCGGCCTCTGGTCAGTCACGGTGGCGAAATCACGGCGCATATCTGGGGGCGACGAGGAGGAGGAGGAACAGGAGGAGGAGGAGGAGGTTGAAAGTTCTCGCAGGACATAATCGACCACCTGGACGGCGACTGCACGGACATGACGTCTTTCCCTACCCTGGAGTTCGACCTGGGCGGCAACCTGCTGTCGCTGCCCCCGGACGCCTACATGGCGGCCGTCGTGGGGACCGCGCGGTGCAAACGGCCAGGGAGGGTTCCCGCGTCCTGGGTCATTCCTCACTCCTCCTCCTTATCCCCCTCCTCCTCCTCCTCCTCCTCCTCCTCCTCCTCCCTCCTCCTCGCTCCTCCTCCTCCTCCTCCTCCTCCTCCTCCTCCTCCTCCTCCTCCTCCTCCTCCTCCCTCCTCCTCCTCCTCCTCTCCTCCTCCTCCTCCTCCTCCTCGCTCCTCCTCCCTCCTCCTCCTCCTCCTCCCCCTCCTCCTCCTCCTCCTCCTCCTCCTCCTCCCCCTCCTCCCTCGGCTTCCTCGCGTCCAGAAGACGGCTCAAGACAACTCGGGATGAGAGGCCAGTCCCTTGAAAGCCCCTCCCCCTCTCCCTCCTCGGGGGTCAATGCAAACGGGGGTCAGCCAGAGCGCCGGATCTTGCAGGATCCTGCAAAGCCGGTCTGCATGGACCCGGGCTAGCGCGCGGGATCTTGCAGGATTTTGCACGATCCTGCGCAGCCTGATTGACCAGGGCTTGCATTGACTGGGGTCAGTATACCTCCGACCTCCTCTCCCTCCCCTCACCCCCGTTCGCCCCAGAAGCAAACAACACCCAGGCATCCGACGTTGTGATTACTGTTCTTAGCGCGGCTCCCAGGAGGTACGGGCCCCTTCCTTGGACAGGTTTTTCTTTTCGAGTTGTTCTTCGACGGCGGCAGGGCTGGGCCGGGCCCCCATGATCGGGCGTTGCGCAATGGGGGGGCCATCAAGAGGGGGGGTGAAGAGACGCGCACCCTTCGGGCACTGTACGGGCCCTAAAAGGGGGCCCCTGCAGCCCAAAATGGGTACGAAAGATGTGCGTTTCGGCCCCCCCCCACCATCGACCGACCCTCCATTGAGCAACGCCCAACGCGAGTCCAGAAATTGCCACGAACCTTCCGCCGCTGTGTTCGCCAACGAGGCGCCAAGCTCGCTCGCTCGAGGACGATCGCCAGCGTCTCGCCAACGTCGGCGAGACCTCCTTGGCGAGGTGCGGAAGAACGTGGGCGATGCACATCCGCCAAGCCAACACTGGGCTGCCCGTGGCGGCCTGTAGGACCAGCTTGCCGGCCCCGACGTCCTGGCGCAGCAGCAGATCTGGCGTCGACTGCGCAGACGGAGGAGACAGGGGCACGCCCGTGCCGGCCCGCAGGATTCGCGGCACGACGACGACGAGAAGGTCTCACGGGCAACGTTGCTGGGGAATAGGCTCAGGGGGGATGCATCGAGCCCCAATCGCTCATTGAACGCCGATGCGGGCCCGATAGCCATACCCCACCAAGGACCGTGCGGACTCGCTATCGGGGGCATATCACCGCTGTCTCGGCGACGTCTCGCCGGTTCAAGCTCGGTGCTTCCCCCCCCGAGCGGGCCCCCCCTCCAGACGCTGCCCCCCAAAATGCAGAGCCTCGCTTCGCCCCGCCCCCTCCCGTGCTCCCCGCCAGGACCGTGCCCGCGTACCTCGAGCGCACCGTCGCCCTCGGGAGCCTGGGGGGCGCCCGCCCTTTCCTGCGGCGCCCGCTGGGCGCCCGCGCGGTGGGAGCGGGGCGCCGACGTTTCGTCGGACGTCGTCGTTCGCACCGCCGCCGCCGACGACGACGTCGACGACGAACGACGAAGCCGACGACTACGACGACGACGAACGACGAAGCCGACGACGACGACGACGACGACGACGACGACGACGACGACGACGACGACGACGACGACGACAACGTTTTCGTCGGAGCTGGCTGGGGGTCTGACGCAGCCCAGCACAGGTTCCCGCCAGCAGGAAGCGGGGGGGGGGAAGGCTCGAGGTCCGGGGTTCGAGGAGCTGTCCTCAGTTGCTCTCGAGTGCCCCTGTCGGGTCCTCTCGGTCATGTGCGGCTGTCTTCGCCTCACTTGTCAAGACATCGACGCGGCAGAATTCTTTGCCTTTCGTGCGTGCACTCCAGCATCCCTGCGATGACACGTTTTTCACACGGGCCTTGGGACATTTTCTCATCGCCTGGCGATAGCGGCCGTGACCAGGGGGGGAAGGAGGTGGGGGAGGGGGACGGTCACGGGCGCGATCGCGCAGGATTCAAAACTCAGGAGATCGCAAACATGGATCCAGGGGGCGTGGATTACCGACGGGCCCCGTTTCCATGGGACATCGCGGATTTCCGCCGCCGAACGCGGCGGCACCAGCCGCATTTGGGGAGGGCACCTCCCCCGATCTTATGGCGCCAACATCGCAGAGCGGATTTCGTTCGGAAAACAGTAGGATGGGCGGATGGGCCCGGGGTGTCCTGGAGAATTTCGTTCCGCATTTCGAAGTAAATTTCGTGCGGATTCCTTGTGGCCAGGAATGAAGACCGAACAAATCCACGAGAAACTAACTTTGCTTTTCGCTCGCCATTTCGGGGTCTTGCATTGGCCGAAATTCACGCAAACATCAGCTGCAGCACGTCTGCAAGGGAGATGCAGTGACCGATCCATGGATCTGGCCACCTCGCGCCAAATCCATGCATCGCTGATCCATGTCTGCACGCCCCCCGGAAGATGGGCTCCTGCGTCGCTCGAGGCTTCCGGGGGCCGTTTCACCCACCCGTGCTGCTTTTGCTATCCAGACTCGGGACGCTGCTGTTCTTTTGGCTGCGGCCTCACCGATGAGCGCTCCGCGGGTACCCGGGAAACGGAGGATGAGGAGCAGGAGGAGGAGGAAGAGGAGGAAGAGGAGAAGGAGGCGGAGGAGGAGAAGGAGGCGGAGGAGGAGGAGGGGGAGGGGGAGGGGGAGGGGGAGGAGGGGGAGGAGGGGAGGAGGAGGAGGAGGAGGAGGAGGAGGAGGAGGAGGAGGAGGAGGAGGAGGAGGAGGAGGAGGAGGAGTGGAGGAGGGGAGGAGGAGGAGGAGGAGGAGGAGGAGGAGGAGAGGAGGAGGACGAGGATCGTCCGGGACGGCCGCCAGAGGCACGAGCCGTGGCTCCACGGAGAAGGTGCGCACACGTTCTGCGCCCAGGGGCCCTCGCTGGGCCCCCCAGGGAAAGGGGTGGAGACCTCTCGGGAGCCACGTGGTGAAGACCTACAGTCGAGGCCAGTCCACAAGAGACCTTCCACAAGAAAGCCAACCCTGAGACCCCAGGACGTCCATGGATTCTTGGTGTGGGAACATCACGCTTTCCATGGCAAAACCCTCGAAACCCAAGAAACCAAGGGCACCCTGGAGGCAAGCAGGGTGTTTGTTGGCATGGGCCCCCACTGTGGAGTTCCTAAATGGGGCTGGAGCAGATGGGATCGGAGCATCGCGCCGCATCGCCGATGCGCCGCCGATGCGGCTCGACGTGGAGCCCGATGAGCTTCACGTCGACTCCGCCGATGCGTCGCCGACGTCGACGATGCATCGCCGGTGCATCGCCGCGGCATCATCGATGCATCGCCGATGTATCGGCGATGTGGTGGTAAGTCGGGCCTTGTCTCTCAACAGGAGGAATATTCAAAACTAGTTTTAGAATAGTCCGGGGACGACTTGTTCACAATTTTTGGGGTATTTTAAATTTTCGTCCAAAGTCCCCGGGTAGGGGGACAGGCCCGACCTAGATGTGGTGCGATTCTCCGACCCCATCCAGGAGGCTTCTAGAAGAAGTCACGGCGCCAGAGGTCCCGTGGACCACAGGTCGGGCGTGTGTCCCGCTCTGCTTTGAGCGCAAGCCGGGCGAGGTCAGGAGCACAGACTGGCTGGGAGGTCACAGGCTGAAGTCGGGCCCTGTCCTTCTACTGAAGGAATATTCGAAGATAGTTTTCAGGACAAATGTATTTGAAGTTGGGATTGTTTTGGGGCATGTTGCAGCATTTGTTTAGCATGTCTGATTTGTCGTCCAAAATCCGCCTGTAGGAGGACACGCCCGATTCAATCACAGGCGCAGTGAGACGACACCAGCTTGCGTACTCTGGGTGGGATCTTGATCGAGGGATGGGCGACCAACCTTCCGACGGAACTTGCCCCTCCTCCCCCCTCCTCTTCGTCCTCCTCCTCCCCCGCCCCCTCCTCCTCCTCCGATCCTCCCTCCACCCGTGCCGACAGCACGTGCCCAACCCCCCCAGCGGATCCAGGGTGGGGCGATTATTGCCCCATCCAGAGTATGTTTGAGGGTCTCTGAGTATCGAAACCTTTTGTAAGCGAAGGGAGACGCAACGAGAAAATGACGCGGGGTGTGGGGGGTAAGGAAGAGGACGCGGGCTGAGGCGATGATCAGCACCACAATTATGGCAAGCGAGGGGATTCGGGAGGGAGAAGAGGATGGGCAAGCTAATTCAGGGGTCGGGAAGGAGCGAGCGAATGAGCCAGGAAGCGAGGGAGGAAACATGGTAACTCTTGTATCTCCACCAGCCCATCCAGAAACAGGTCGCCGGGCGAGCTGCCTTGATCAGGGAAGAGTACAAGCATGCAGTGCAACAACCGCCTTGGAAGTGTTTTCTCGGAGGTGTCCCGGAACCATCTGGGGTCTCTCTTGGGGGTCCTCGCGGAGCCACTTGGGGGCACTCTTGGGGCCCTCGTGGGGCTCTTTTGGCAGTTATTGAGGCCCTCTTTGGAGGCCTCTTGGGCCATTTTGGCCTCCGAGGCTCAAAAAGAGACGGGTAACGGATTCATGTCCCCCCTCGGAAGTTCAAACATGTCGTTGTGAGGTCTTTGCAGCCGTTCTTGGAGCGTTTTTGGACGTTCTTGGGGCCGCCTTGGCGCCCTCTTGGGTCCCTCTTGGGGCTTCCTCGGGCCATCTTGGGGCCATAGTGGACCTTCCAAGGCCCATCGGAAACGATAAAGCGAGAAGACAATAATCATACATTGTACTGGCTTGGGAGCCATTTTGGCCTCTTGGGGGTGTCCTTGGAGGGCTCGGGGGGCACTTGAAACCATCTCGAGGCCCTCTTGAGGCCTCTTGAATGTGCGGCGGCGGCTATATTGAGCCATCTTGAGTTATCGTGAGCCATATTCGAGGCCAGCTTGGGGTCTCTGAGTCCCTCCTTGAGCCATCTTGGGTGATCTTGGGAGCTCTAACGCCTCGCGGCCCCCCTCCCTCCCAAGCGAAACACCTCCATTGAGCAGGGGAAAGAGGGATCTTGGCAAAGAGATTATACGACTCGTTAAACCACCTACGCCAAGAGGGCTCGTGGGATTAGGTGGACGAGGACGAGGACAACGACAATGATCGTGGACGAAGGGGAGACGGAAGTGGAGGAGGAGGAGGATAAAAAAACCAGGTAGCATGAAGATGTACAAAGAGGAGAGAGGGAGGAGAGCGGAGTGATCAGGAAGAGCAGGAGAAGGAGGAAGATGGCACAGGAAAAGGGGATGACGAAAGGGAGCGCGGGGAGGGGGGGGAGAACCGGAGGACCTGCCATCGCTCGGGCGTGTGTAGTTGTCTCCGCGCGGCCAGCGCCAGAAAATTTGACCCATCTTGGAGCATCGTGGATCATCTTGAGGAGGACCGCGCACGAACAAAACAACCAATGAACGAAGAATGGGCGCCCGAGAGATGGCAAGGATGGGCACGAGCGGCGTCTCCATAGATAGCGGGGCGCGCACAACTCCAGCGCTCGTTCCGCTCGCCTCGGGGGTACATGGTGGGAGGAAGAGGACGAGGACGAGGACGAGGACGAGGAGGAGGAGGAGGAGGAGGAGGAGGAGGAGGAGGAGGAGGAGGAGGAGGAGGAGGAGGAGGAGGAGGAGGAGGAGGAGGAGGGGAGGGGGAGGAGGAGGAGGAGGAGGAGGAGGAGGAGGAGGAGGAGGAGGAGGAGGAGGAGGGGAGGAGGCGGTAGGCGGAGGCGGAGGCGGAGGCGGAGGAGGAGGCGGAGGCGGAGCGCGGAGGCGGAGGCGGAGGCGGAGGCGGAGGCGGAGGCGGAGGCGGAGGCGGAGGCGGAGGCGGAGGCGGAGGCGGAGGCGGAGGCGGAGGCGGCGGCGGCGGAGGCGGCGGCGGCGGCGGAGGAGGCGGCGGCGGCGGCGGCGGAGGAGGCGGAGGCGGAGGAGGCGGAGGAGGAGGCGGAGGAGGAGGAGGAGGAGGCGGAGGAGGAGGAGGGAGGAGGAGGAGGAGGAGGAGGAGGAGGAAGGAGGAGGAGGGAGGACGAAGAAGGAGGACGAAGAAGGAGGAGGACGAAGAAGGACGAAGAAGGAAAGAAGGAGGACGAAAGAAGGAGGACGAAGAAGGACGAAGAAGGAGGACGAAGAAGGAGGACGAAGAAGGAGGACGAAGAAGGAGGACGAAGAAGGAGGACGAAGAAGGAGGACGAAGAAGGAGGACGAAGAAGGAGGACGAAGAAGGAGGACGAAGAAGGAGGACGAAGAAGGAGGACGAAGAAGGAGGACGAAGAAGGAGGACGAAGAAGGAGGACGAAGAAGGAGGACGAAGAAGGAGGACGAAGAAGGAGGACGAAGAAGGAGGACGAAGAAGGAGGACGAAGAAGGAGGACGAAGAAGGAGGACGAAGAAGGAGGACGAAGAAGGAGGACGAAGAAGGAGGACGAAGAAGGAGGACGAAGAAGGAGGACGAAGAAGGAGGACGAAGAAGGAGGACGAAGAAGGAGGACGAAGAAGGAGGACGAAGAAGGAGGACGAAGAAGGAGGACGAAAAAGGAGGACGAAGAAGGAGGACGAAGAAGGAGGACGAAGAAGGAGGACGAAGAAGGAGGACGAAGAAGGAGGACGAAGAAGGAGGACGAAGAAGGAGGACGAAGAAGGAGGACGAAGAAGGAGAAGAAGAAGGAGGAGAAGAAGAAGAAGAAGAAGAAGGAGGAGGAGGAGGAGGAGGAGGAGGAGGAGGAGACGGAGGAGGAGGAGGTGTCGGGGGCCCCCAGGCATTGTCGTGACCACACCGCGTGGCTCGCTCTGTGAGCTCTTCGCCGGTCCAGCAGGCTCGTCTCCTGGACGTGCCCCGGTGCGTGGCACCTTGCGGGCGTGTGCACTCGCCTCGGCGACGCGCCAGCGCCAGAACATGTGGACCATGATGGGCCTGTTTTCCACCTCCTCCGCCTCCTCCTCGTCCTCGTCCTCGTCCTCCACCTCCGTCCCCCCTCCAACTTATGGTGGTAGTGGTGGAAAACAGGCCCATCAGACCATCTTGGAGCATCTTGGGTCGCCTCGAAGAAACAACGCGCACAAGGCCAGACAGTGCACGGGGAGTGGACGTCCAAGCCATGGCCGCGTGCGGGCGGGGTCTCCCCAGCGGGGCGCGCGCGACGCCGGCGCTCGTCTCGTCTCGCCTTGGGGGACTGTCGGCATCGCACCGACAGAGGAAGAGTGTGCGCGCGTCGGCCCCCAAGGGTCGACGCGCGCGTCGAGAAATCTTACACTATATACCTGGTGGCTGGCGCTTTCAGGCCGTACCGCTTGGGAAACGATGTGCTACAAGATGGTTGTACTACATGTTCGGCTAGGACGCACGCCTCCGAGGAGGGCACACAGTGCTAGCGTGTCCGTGTGCGTCCCATCGCCTCGGGGGACTGGGCAGGTGATCCCTCGCAACCTGTCCGTCACCGCGCCCGTCGGCGACTTCTCGGACGACGGCGCCGCCGCCAGCCAGTGCAAGGTTGGAGGGCGAGGGCCAGGGCTGGGGGCGGGGTCCTGGCCTCACCGCATCCTGGAGAAGACAGGGATTGGATGGTGTGTTCCAAACAGTGCTTGCACTAAGAGGTTCCGCGACCCCATCAGCAACGTCGCTCTGTCCATCTCACGCACGCCTGAGTCCTGTTGCTAGCCCCCATCCCTTAGTTTCCACATGTCTTGCGGCACTCGCCGCAACATATGGTTTGGTCCTTCGCCAGGCTTATGTTTTTATCCCCAGTAGTGCTTGCACTTCGGGGTTCTCTTCTGTCACTGAGGAATTGGATGGGTCCACCGAGGTTTCGCCGCGTCGCCGCCCGTGGCCGCCTCGATGCAGCCTCGATGCCGCCCATTTTTTGGTTAGGTCCGCCGAGGATTCGCGTTTCAACGCGTCTTGAAAAAACCTACATATATACATATGTATGTATGTATATATATATATATATATATTGTTGGTTCATTGCTCTCGCAATGTTCAGCCGCCCGTGGCTCTTGACAGGCGAGGTCGTCAACAATTTCTCGGGATGATTACCAGTCCCCAGAGAATGGTGCAGACTCGTGGGGAGCCGCGCGTTGCAAACAAACGTAGAACCGACGTCGGCTGTCTGGGGAGGCCGCCCCACCCCACCTCCCCCCCGCACTTCTGCGGTGAGAGATCTCCTCTCCCGTGGACTTCTGCGAGGAGAGCCCTCCCTTCCTGTGATCCGTCGCCCCCCCCACTTCCTGTAGTTACTTCTGCGAGGAGAGCCGCGCTCTGAACGAGGAGCTGAACTCGGGGCGGACGGAGAGTACGGATCGGGGGACGTCAGCCGATCACCCGACTCATCCTGGCCCTCCCGGGCCAAGGATCGGTGCGTGCGCCTTCCTGGCTGGGCCAGGGGGGGGGGGGGCGCACACGACCCGACCTCGGCCCCGGGATCGGCGAGGCGCTCCGCCGACGCCCCCGCGCGGAGGCCCACGCCGCGAGCGCGGAGGGAGGCAGAGGCCAGCCGGCCGCCCCCGCGATCGTTTTTCGCTGGGCGCGGCCATTTGTTCAAGCAGCGGCGAAGCGTCCGGGCGTGCTCATAGCCCCTACCAAATGATGTTCTAAGAACCTTCCCACGAAATGTCCTTAGAACATTTCTGGCGAAGTCTGTTTTGTTGTATCACATCGGGTTCATGTTCTAAGAGCACTGTATTGTAACAAGAGCATGTTTGGGTTACAAGAACATTTCGTGGTAGGACTATGGGAATGCCGGGACGGTCGGTCCCTGCTCAATTTTTGGATATGGTTTGACTACGTTTTATTGTTCGCCCAGAATCCGCCTGCATGGGGGACAGGCCCGACCTGACCCACCCCCGCCGCCCGCAGCCCCGAACGGCCCCGCGCCCAGCCCCCCCCCTCCCCATTCGCTGCCTGGCCAGCGCCGCCGAGATGGCCGCGGCTCTCGCGGGGGTCGGTCGGCGACGCTTAAGAGTGACCTCTCGCCAGAGCGATAAATGGCTGCGGGCCCATTGGGGACCCCACGAACGTCGAACGCGATGCGGCAGTGGCGTCTTGCGCGCTCATGCTCGGCCCCCCTCGCGGCCCCCAAAAAGCCGCGCATCAAGGGTCAATCTTACCCAGGGTCACTCTTGCGAGTAGTCGACTGGGGCAGCTGACCCTTCTCCCCTGCACCCCCGGCCCGCCCGTTCACGGCTGCTCCAAAATTAGCCCTTGTTTTTTTTCTTTGACTTCATCGCGTCGCGAGGAGAAGGAAGGCATGGCGGACGGTGTGTTGGGTTATTCTGGCTTCCAGGAGGGCCCTTGGTGGGCTCCTCGGGCCGTCAAGCAGCGGCTCAGGACGAAGAGCTTGTCCGGGGGAAGTGCCCAGATGTCTTGGGCAGCCACGCCTTGCACGCGCAGGCACGACGTTGGATGCCTGGGCCACGCCGTGAAAAAAGAGAGCGGAGCCCGACGCCCTGGAGACTGTTTCGCTTCGGGGGGGAGTTCGGAGGACGCGAAGGGGGGGGGGGCGATGAAGGGGGGGTCAGCGAGGGCTGCAGAAGAGGGGTCTTCGGAGCCCCCAAGGGGCCCTTTTCGGGCCCCAAGGGGCACCCATTCGCCGAAAGAGATCCAGAGATGTCTCCTGGCAGGTCGGGCAGGCCGCCCTCTCGCGGCGCAGTCTGGCACGGGGCTGCCTCGGCGCTGCGCGATTCGGGGCGGCCACGGGAAGCCCAAATCAGCCGTGCGCCGAGGCAGAAGCAGGGGCCGCGAGTTTCTGTCGTTGGCTATCATGTGTTATCTCCCCTTGTGTGGTGTCCTACATTGCCTTTAGCCCGCGTGAGGCTTTGGATCGCAATGCTTGTACGTCGAATTAGTCGTGCCTTTCGGATGATCTCGCGGTGAGTGAGAAAGATCAACAGGCGCACGATGCGACAAGAGGAGCGCGAAGAGGAGTTCGAGTTGGAGGGAGAGGCAGAAGGATGAAGAGGATGGAGAAACAGGGGCAGAGGCGGAGGGGGGGATGAGGAGGGGGAGGAGGAGGAGGAGGAGGAGGACAAAGAGATGACGAGGGTGAGAGAAAAAGAGGGTTACGGGGGAAGGAAGATTGCAGTGGTGAGGAGGAGGAGATCTCAGGAAGTGCGAGAGGACGGAGAGAAGAAGGATATAATTGTCGCGAAAGAGAGTCTCCCCCGGCGGCGTTTGGGTGAGATGCTGCTCATGGAGTCGTACATGGAGTCCGACTCTGGCGGGCCAATCTGGATATTTGGATTCACGGCGCTTCGCGTAAACACGCTCAGATCGATTACCCCTCCACTGTTTATGTTGTCTACGATGTTGTTGTTGGTGTTGTTGTTGTTGGCGGTGTTGGTGTTGGTGTTTGTGTTGTTGGTGGTTTGTTGTCGTTGTTGCTGCTGTTGTTGTTGAATTCCCGCTTCCAAAGAATATTTGGTGTTGATCCCCCCCTCCCAGGTAACCATAGTACTGTTTCAATTAAAGTGTTTCTCCCGGGACTCGCACCATGTTTTTTTTTTTTACCAGGGAAAGTTGGGTGTCACCATACAAGGGAAAGTTGGGTGTTACCAAGCTGTGTTGTTGGCCCCCGAACTACAACAACAATGGCTGCCGGCTGATACTTCCTCACAATGTATTCCCAAACCGCGCTCTCGCGCGGGACTTCCTCACAGCCCCTAAGGCAGGGGAAGAGAGGACGGATTCAAGGAAGGGGCAAGGGGCAGGCGGGTTGTTGAAGCTTGCGCCTTGCATGAATTGCGACGAGGAAACCTCGAGCGATAGCGCGACTCCCAAATACATCGTCAGGAAATCCACATCGAGAGCCTGATTCCTGAGTGTCGAGGGCGCGGCGTCCAAATACATGGCGAGAAGTCCATCCAGGGTTCGGGATACACGGAAATATGTGTTGAACGGCACGCGAGTAGATGCGGCCGAACAGCCTTAAATTGATTATTGTTGTTGTGGGTGGTGTTGATGTGAAAGTGCGGGATTGCTCCTTTCAAGACCGTTGCATTGGGCCTGGCGGGGGAAGCCCAGGAGAAGGATAATCTCGAGTGCCTGATGTCCCTGAAGAGGGTCGGTTGATTCCCTTTCTTCCGGAAGTACTACGCCACTTTCGACGTCGGAGGGCCGGGGGTCGTTCCGCAGCATGATGGTATTCTTTCCCTCGTTTCGGCTGCTGCCGATTCGAGAGGAGGCTGACAGCAAGCAGCAGAATCAGACATCCAGCGCCTTGAAACATCGATGCGGCAGATTTGTCGCCGTTTTGGGCATCTCGGGGGAGGTTTCGGGCCGCGGGAAGGTAAACACGACCCAGGATGAAAAAACAGCCTTGGGGAAAGGACCGAAAGGTCTTGGGCATCACGGATCGAAGGAATCGAAGCGCCAGGTGTTTGACGAGGTGTAGTCAGCTGAGCCTTGAACGTGTTTCGGGAAGGTGTTTCAGCTTGGGATGCTCTTTCGGATCTTTTCTGGCCCTGCTGCGGGTCTGGTCAGTGCCGTCCCTGTGTCGTCTCTTCCGCCTCACTTTCGTTCCCCTTTCCTCTCCTCATCCTCTTTTCCATGCACTAACTCCCTCCTCCTTTTCATGTTGCTGGTTTTCCTCCTTCTCATCGTCCTATTATTCCTTCTCGTTGTCATACTTCCTCCTCCTCCTCTTCCGTCTACCTCCCTTCATTTTTCTCCTCCAATTCCCCGTGTTCCTCCTCAACTTGCTCCTGTTTGTCATCCTCTTCCCGCTTTTCCGCCTGGTTCCCCCTCCCTCCTCCGTTGCTCACTATCCATATCCTGGTCTTTTTGGTCCTCCTTCAAACTCGAACGGTAGCTCCTTGTCCAGCACCTTGTTTCTCATCATTGCCGGCCCGTTGCGCTGTTTTGGCTCAAGGCCTGATCCGTGCGCCGCGCCCGCCTTAGACGCGCCTTAGGAATTCCGTTTCGGACCATCCTATTTTGTATTTATTTTACGGAAAACAACGCTTCTGTCCCCCCATCCTCATTTCCAGGTGGTAACGGTGCAGGTTTGCCCCTGTTCCCACCACGGCCGCCATGTCTCGCCTCGGAGTGGTTCCCGCCTTCCGCCGACTCCGACTTCGGCCAACCGCCTTCAACATCGACGCTTTCGTGCACCTTCCCCCCTTCGCTCTCGCAAAAGATGATACTTTAGGGTCTGTCGGGGCTGCGCCAGCCAACCCATCCGCCTGAACTCGCGACTGGGAGCGTGCGCGCCGCCTTCCACACTTCCACCTTCGTGCACATTTTCCCGTTCATTACAGCAGGGGACGTTACTCGAGGGTCCGTCGGGGCATCCGTCCATCCGCCGGGACCAATGACCGAGAACGTGCACAACCAGCGCTTAATCAAGGACAACATCACCAGGATGTACAAGGACCGCGCTGCGATCCATCCCGGGCATTTTCGGAGTGTGGCCAGGAAGCCCGCGGACCCCAAATTGTCAGCACCCCCGCCCGTGGGGGCAGTTTTAAGTGTTAGATAGTTGGTCGACACACCGTTCACATTTGCGACGGCAGAACCAGGCCCCGAACTTCATGGGACTGTTTCGAGATCCTTGGGGCAAGCAAGCAGAAAAGAGGCATCTGGCGACTGCGTCGCCGATGCCGAGCGGGGATGCAATCGGGGGCGCGAGAACTAAGTTTCCAACCCCTCTGGGTAACGCAGCGAAGGGCACGACGATTGGGACGCCACCACTCCGAGGCACCACGCCTCGGGATCCGACCCTTCGCTTTACCTACTCAGACCCGCCAGCCGGGCAGGGCGGGATCCCGACGCGCACTCCTAGACGATCGTGCAATTCGCGGTACACAGCGCAGCAAACACACGACGCGCGAAGAGCATTCCCGCGACTGTGTCGCGGGATGCTCCGAGTACCGCAAGCGCTGCAGCGACGCGACCGACGCCGCGCCCAATGTGCTGACGAGGAAGAACACACTCGGGACAAGTACCCTCGGCGACTCATGCAACGCCGCCTGAGGACCCCTCGCACCCAGCATCCTCTTGCGATATTTTGAGGGAGCTACACTCCGGATGAAAGGCCATCGGAGTCGGCGCGAGTGCCATCGCAGGCTGTATCGCCTGCGCGGCCGCGGGCGGCGGCAGCGGCAACGCGCGCTGTCTCCGCGCCCGAGGGCCCGAGCACCATGCTCGCGTGCATTTCCAGAAATGGGCGCGAGAAGCGATGATCTGGTCAGTGGCGCACTCAGACCTCAATGAGGCCAGGCGGCCTCCGTCTCGTCGCGCCACGCCGGCATGGCGCGCGAGCGCGCGGACACAGAGGCCGCCGGCTGTCCTGAACCAGGGAAGTCTCCTCAACGACAACCCAGCGCCACCGATGACCCGCCTAACGCACAGCTTGGCCGAACGAAGGGGACATCTGAACGAGGTGGGGCGCGCCTTGGCAGCATGGACTCAGATGGGCCTCGACCGGCTGCCGTGGGGGCGCATCGACAACCTGCCGACGAGGTTCGACATCTCCTGCAATTGGGCGCAGCAAGCTGGACTAGTCATAATCGGCCGCGAGGGGCTTATAACTACCTCCTGGCACGCGCTGCCGGCGCGTCGAATATGCAACTCGCCGCGGCCCTGCAACGCTGCAGCGCGGCTCACCCCGCGAACGCTCAGCAGCTCACTCATATGACGGGCCAGCTGGGGCGCCCAGGGCCCGCGACAGAGCGATCGCCGGGCAGCAGCCCCAGGACGCCCCGCCCGGGCCGTGGACAGAGGCTGAGGCACGACACTAGCATTGCGAAGTCACGGATTCGACGTGGTCCGCACCTCGAACTTCGAGGATGCCATCCAGAGTTTGTTCGACAGCACATTCCCCTTTACCAACAGCAGCACGCCGTGGGTCCCGCGCGACGCGAATACGGGGCGAGTTTCACCGGATTCTCGACCCCCGCCTAACCGGCGCGCCCGGGCCAAGGACGCCAGCGCCAGGCGGGCGATCTTTTGCCAGCATGGCCAGCAGTGGCGACGACCCGCGGCGCGACAGATGATCGACACCCACGCGCTCCACTCCAGTGCGCTTCGGGCTTGCCGTAAGCCTGCGGCCCCAGAGGCCAATCACAGCAGAGCTACCTTCGCGGCGCTCGCCGGGGCGCAACCAGCTGCCGGTGCGACGCCAAGCTAGGGCGCATCGACGACTGGGCCATCACCGACCGACACGTGCAATTATGTGCCGTGATTTCTGGCGACTTGCGACTGACGCATTGGCCGGCAAATCCCATTGCGCGACAGGGGGCGCACGTGGGAAGGTGCTGCTCCGACGAAGCACGACGGCAGCCTGCTCGTCAAACTCGAGCACTTCCCCCCGCTCAACTGGCAGCCGCGAGCACCGCGAGCGCGACGGCCAGGACCCGGTACACCGCGAGATCGCACACCACTTCGCTACAGGTCAGGATAACGGGCAGCCACGGGATGCGCCCGATGACTGCGTCGTCGGCACCAACCCCATAGCAGCGCGCATACGCCGGACGAAAAATAATAAAGATGGAAAATATAGAAAAAGGCCGCGCGCCCAAAGCACGCAAGCACGTCGTCGAGGACCAATGCGACGATCGCGGCGCGGACCGCGCAGGTCAGGACCCATATCTCCTGGGCTTCCCAGCCATTGGCGAGCCGGATCAAACCGACGAGTGCGACGACGACGACTTCCGAGGCAGCCGCGCCTCAGGCCTGCCCACCAGGCGGTTCCAGAGCTCGTCGGCCCCGGCTTCAGATCGCTATCTGGCGAGTGCTCAGACACCGCAGTCCCCCGAGTGATCCTTCTCCGCCAGGCCTGGGGCCAGAGCCACATTTGACGACATCAACCAGCTCCTCGCCGACCTCGCCTCACTCGACTACAGCGTGCGGCGGGGAGGCGCCGACCCGAACCACCCCGGCCGCGCGCCGAGCCGCTCTGGCCAGAGGTGCCGGCAGCGCCGGGCATGGACGAGGCCATCTTCAGCCCGCGTCAGCATGGGCTTCGGGATCGCTGCGGAGGCAGCTTAAAAATGACCGCTGGGCTGGTCTCCAACGCTCCGGAGATCTTCGAGCAGTTCTCCGACCTCCGTTGCCCCGGCAAGCACGCGCGCGCCCGCGTCGAGGGTCGGGGCAACTTCGACGCCCAGATTTGGCAATTGAAGGTGGCCGAGCGTCTCGTCCAGAGCATAGTGGACTTCCGTCGCCGTCTGCGGCGCCCGCATTTCGAATTTTTGACGCGAAATCTGGCGCGAAATTGCAGCCGAGCGCGCGCGCCACACATGCCAGGCGCGCAGGCGCAACATACGGGCGGACTTGCCCATGCATTCCAGGAACCCAGCAGCGCGCCGCTACCGGGGGCGCCCCGGCTGCGACGAGGGAGAGGAAGTCGATCGCGCCGCGCGCGCCCACGTGTTCGGCAAAGGCAGGTTCGCAGATCCCCACGCCCAGCTGCGCCCGCGCGCCGGCCAGCACCCGCGGGCGCCAGCGCGCCCCGGAGAACCACATCACTCCAGCGATCAGCAGGCGTGGCCACCCAGCGGCGCAGACTTCGGAGCAGCAGACGAGGCTGCTCCAACACCTGCGCCCGCAGGAGGGCCAGGAGCCATCTCATCATCCAGCGCTGGAGCTCAGGGCATTAGTTCGGGCGCCTGCGTCGCTCGATTGGGAATCCGAACTCACGGCACCGGCGCGGGCGACTGCGTCGCTCGACCAGGGATCCGAGCTAGTCCAGCATCAGGCGCGGAGCCTCGTGGAGCAGCGCCGCGAGTTGTCGACGCAGCTGCAGGCAACCCAACGCGCTCAGACTGGACTCGCTTCGACGTCTCTACCTCCGTACGAGCACTTCGCAGCGACTCTCGACTCTTACGCGGGAGCTGCGCAAGCTGCACCTCCAGTGGCGGCGTGCCTCGAAGGGGGGGCGACGCGCGCGCTAAGGGCAGCAAGCGTTCCACAGGACATCTTGAACTACATGCCTACGGCGGTCAACATCAGCAGGGGGCGTCGCAAGTGGCTACCGCCAGCGCGCCGCATCTCCCCTGCACACTCCGCCTGTCGACGCGATTTAACCAGCGCGTCGAGCGCGATGCCGATGCCCCACGGCGGCGCGATGGCCAGGAGGTATCGCCCAAGCGCCACTCGACGCTGCTCGCCGCCA